GCCTCTTGATTTCTTCATTAGTATGTGTAACCTCTGTTGATGCTATTGATGCCCTCTTGCAGAATCCTGTGGATGCTCTTGAAAATCACCATTTTCACTATTAATGTCCCATTTTCCTTCCTCATTAATTCCAAAGACGTCATTAAAATTTAGGGGAACAAACTGGTATTTAGTCATATCATGCTTTGCCTTTACAAGTCACGTCATCTCCTGGAGAGATAAACAGTATATTTGCACTAATGAAGAGGAAAAACACTTCCTAAATGCCACACAACTACATATCACTGGAACAGGTTGCCCAGAGAGGTGGTGGAGGCTCTATCCCTGAAGGCATTCAAGGTCAGGCTGGATGGGGCTCTGAGCAACCTGATCTAGTTAAAGATGTCCCTGCTCACTGCAGGGGTGTTGGACTAGATGACTTTAATGGTCTCTTCCAACCCAATGCATGAAAATAATTAATAATTTTAAAAAATTAATAAAAGCTGATACCACATGCACAACCATTATCATTTTCCCCATGTTCTCTAGGCATTACTTTGTGCATGTACTGCACCTGCAACACTGCTATGTTTAATGTCACAGACTCGAGGTGGTGATAACACTGCAGTGGGAAATGCACCAGGGGTAGATAGGATGTTAGGAGAATCTTCTTCACCGAAAGGGTGGCAAAGCACTGGAATGGGTTGCTGAAGGAGGTGGTGGAGTCACCATGCCTGGACATGTTTAAAAAATGGTTGGATGTGGCACTTCAGGAGATGGTTTAGTGTTAGGGTGGTGTAGGGCTGCAGGTTGGACTTGATGATCTTAAGGTCCTTTCCAACCTTTATGATTCTAGGATCAGGTGGTGACATCCCATAGCCAAAATTGTCTCCAGGAATAAATGGCCATGGCCCGACAGGACACAGGCATCTTGCCTGTGACACTGGAAGTTTTTCTGTGGTACTCGTGTGCCCTGCTACATCATGCTCTGATGAGGTTTATACCGAGCTTAGTTAGTCATTTCTCCTAAAACTAAAGATTATGTCTGTAGTATCTTGCTTCGTGTTAGGAGTTTTCTATGTCATACACCGACCCCTGTGCACAAGTAACTGGGTTTCACAGTGCTGTACCACAAGACGTGTCTGCGTAGGCATGCTGAACACAGGGCTGGCTCCCCTCCCGATGGGGAAAGAGCCATTTCAGTTCTGTTTTGCTCCTAAGCACTTTCTGTACCATCTTCTCCTATCCTGCTACACTGAGATATACTGTTTTCCTCCAAATGGCACTGCGAGGAACAACGCAGTCCCTCTACCACACAGATTTTTAGCAGTGCTAAGCTTTTCTTCCCATATACTGGTAACTGCTCCAGGACGTGACACTATGTAGAGGCTAATAGTTGCTATTTTAGTCAATATACTGTTCACCCAGCAGCACTGATCATTGTAACAAGCCCTTCTTTCCTGCCTTTAGGCACTTTACTGAGCCCCCATGTGCTCTCAACCTGGCTAGTAACGCCTCTGCATTTTGGACTTTGTATTTTCTCATAGCAGTTTCTGCGGGTAATATAACAGTCTTGGTGTTGGGCCTCAGAGAGACAACAGTTAAGCTCCATCCATCAGGTGTCCAAAAGTAATGGACTTGGAAGAGGGATAGGGAAACAATCCCATTTTCGTTTGAGACCTGGATCAGATGCCTGTCAATATATATAATCCACCACAGATAATATATAATCCACCTAGGGCCAGGCCATCTTTTCTTGGATATTACAAGGGCAAAAAAATCCTCTTTCCAGGCCTTAGTGATTGCCTAACTACTCCATAAGCAGCTGTTTGTCCTCTGTGTTTTAACTCCTGCTTGAGGTCCTCCTGCTCCTCCCTGCTAACAACCATGAAGTAGAACAATTCTTTCTTCCAAAAGTCCCTGTTCTTCCTTATTCCTTGTATTGATTTCTCTTGACTCAACAGCAGAGCTTTCAGAAAGAACAGCCCTCACAGCCCTGCTGTCCATCACAGGCCCAACCACTGGCTCGGGGACTCCCAAGCATAAGTCCAGCTGGTCACGCCTCACCTGTACAGGAGGCAGCGGGTATGGAGACTTAAGCAAAAAGCCCCTCTTCGTCCCCCACCCTCCGCAGTACACAAACAGGTGCAGGAATCTGCCTCTGGTCCTCCATTCCTTGGCCCTAAGGTGTGTGTCATCTCCTCCCGCAAAGCATGGTCAAGATCCCAAATCTGTGCACAAAATGATAACATTTATTGAAAGAGTATTTTTTTTTTAATACAAAAGAAAGCTCTGTACATAGTACTGTGATTACTTCCACATCCTTCCAGAAACACAACCCTGGAAATTGGAGGGGAAAAAAAAAATAATCCCACACACACTTATGCGTACACACACGCGCACACGCACACACACACACACAACCCTCAAACCGGTAAAATGAACTAAAAATGTCACCACACAATAAATGCCATTTCATCCCTGATACACAAGTGTTCTTACAAGTCTGCACTTAAATAAAATACACCATTAGCGTTTAACCAGCAGTTGCCTTTGGGGAGCCAGGGAGGGGATGCAGTCAGGCACCCCGCAGCAGCAGGGGCACTCCTGCCAGCCCGGCCCAACAGCTCTGCTCCACAGTGCCGGCACGCGCCAAGCGGAGCAAAGCCAGGCCATGGTGATGTGCTGGGGCAAAGGACAACGCAAAGCCCAACCCCATCCTCCTCCCTGGATGAACTCCTAGGTACCCAGCCTTGTTCTGGAAACATCACTGAGCAGCTTTCACACACCTGGCCACGGGGCCTGGCCCAGCACTCCCACACGCTCCGAGCTGCGGGGTACGCATTGCTCTCGGAGCAAGGATCCTAAAGGGAGGCAGTGAGCAACATCACTCTTACCAGATGGGCCACCCCACTCCTTGTGAGCCCTTCTCAGGCTGCGTAACAGATCAAGGGCTGAAAGACTGTTCCAGGAGCTTTTTTCACAAGGCAGCTTGGAGGGCTTCACATCTGTGCACTGAGAACAAGCGGAGATGGGGAACTACAGCCCTGATCATCGGCTAGGAGTCCAGGAGATGCTACCTACACAGGGAGCAGGGAGGGCAAGGACCAGCCACTACTGGCCACTTGCTGCCCAGGGCGGAGTGGGGATGTCCATATCCCTTAGGCAGTCACAGGTAGCACTGCTGCACGCCAAGAGCAGTGACAGAACATCACAGGAGCAGAGGAGAACAGGCCAGCCACCAGAAAACCCAGCCCAGCTCTGGCTCCTGGGCACAGTGCAAGCCCTTTGCTCCTGAGGGATGGTTTTCCCACTTCTAGAGAACACTCTGCTTTACTCACTTTCTGCCCGTTAAGCCCAAAATGATGGGTATGGAGTCCTCACTACAGGTAAGTGAGAAACAAGCATTCCACTTGGTTCAGCTTGATCCCTGGCATATGCTGGTGGGTGGAGAGCGCAGCTTAAACGCTAATGCTGAGGGAACATGTCCAAGGTTACAATACAAACTCAAAAGCAAGGCCCCTTTCCTGCCTCCATGCCCACCCACCCCTCTCCCATCCCCCTGGTACAAACCCCATGAAAACTGTACAGGAGCCAAACTTTTATTCCTTAAAGAATTACATAAATACTGAGTTTAACACTTAGAAAAATAAAGTCATTTTCTTTTTTTTTCTTTTTTTCTTTTTTTTTTTTTTCTCCAAGGCTTCTTTTGTCTTTAACTTAAAAAAAAAAAAAAGTTACAGTAGCTGCTTCTTCCACTACGGATTCAGCAGCTTCTCTCACTTGCTCACTCTCCCTCCAGGGACAGGGCTAGGTAGCAGAGCCATTCACAGCAACTCCCATGCAGGACCAAGCATGCTCCAGCCCTTCTGCCCTGGCCTTGCTGAGCCTGCACAGGCATCACAGCTGCTCCTCCACAGCCCAGGGTGGCCTGCAGGTCACCCTGGTGCTCAGAGGAAGAGTCTGCCACCTGCCCAGCAGCTCAGTGCCCTGTGGGCTCTTCCCTTTGACACTTGAGTTGCTTCTCCACCTTGCATCAGACAGAAACTTAGAAAGCGCTGGCTGGAGCTGCAGGGGGATGTGGGAAAGACCCAGCCACGTTCCCCTGGGTGTACGGAGTCCGTAAGCGGTGCGATGGCTGAGAGGAGAGCGTGGGGCTGGGCCGGCCACAGAGCCCCCCAGGAACTCTCCGGGGGCATCGCTGTGCTCCTGGGCCTCAACCACCTCAGCCGTGCGACGGCAGC